CTGGCCAGGAAGGTTTTGTCGACCATTTTCACGTACCGCGGGTGAACTTTGTCGACCAAAACACGTACCGCGAGTGAAGTGTATCGGCCAAAATCTCCGGGTATGAACGTGTCTCAGAAATCGCCTGTCCGGGGAGCCTTCCGGTCCGATTCAGACGGCGGGTGCTTCATAGAAGTTGGAGAGCATTGCATCACGGTCTCGTAGCAAGTGGAATCGTGGAATTCAGACGCGTGAGCAGAGAGATAAGCTTGTCGGAAGGAACCCCAGTCTCGCAGGTATTCCGGACCGAGCAGATCAGTCCTAAAGGATGCGAAGGACGGTGCACGTCCAGGCCGATTTAGTTTCTGGGTCCTTCATGAGAACCAGAGATATTTGAGTCTTCTTTCCAGAACGTCCAAGATCATTCAATTCGGATCTATGAGCAGAAAGATACGGTCTCCGGAATGGACACATGTCTAAACGCCTCTCTCTGGTCGTGTACATGCACTGCAAAGATGTGCCCTCCAGGAAGCCTTACACTTCCCAAGCACCGAAGCTTCCTTCACCAAAGTTGGAGATAAATGAGTCCTCTGTCTTCTGCAACTTAAATCATTCAATTCGGACAAGCCTCATAGGAGTTACACTCTCCGGAATGCGAAGTGGTCTAAGCTGCTCTGGATGCTGCGAGACGGTCTTGCGACTTGGTTAGCCCGCAGGCCTGAAGATGAACGCCTGAATGCTGATGCTGCGAGTTGATATGTGCGGGTAAACTATCACTGGAAGAGGTCTGAAGCTCAAGAGCAAGAGAAATGCTAAGTCCACAATCCTGCGACTTAGGCATGCGAGTTAGCCGCGCCTGGAACTATGCCGCACGATCACTCGCAAATCACTCCGACTTGAGCCTGCGACCTAGTTGCAATAGAGACTAACCCGCACAGTTTGTACATTCCCCAGAAACCGCCTTAGCCCTGCGAGTTGGAGAGGAAGGAGACCAAACCGCAGCAACACTCGCAAAACACTCCTACTTAGGCGTGCGGCTAAGGCAAGGCGATTCAGGCTCCACAAGACAAGTCTTCATCTGCTGCGACTTAGGTGTGCGACCTGGGACATACTGGACTGACCCGCAGTAATTCTCACTTTATCCACTAAAGCCGGGTCAGGACCCGGTTTGTTCCGGGCTGACCCGGTTCGTTTTTAAGAAAGTATAAATACTTTTTAGGGTTTTTTGGGGAGAACGAAGTTTTATTCCCTTTGTCTCTTGCCTCTTTGGTGAAAAAGACTCCATTAAGAAGAGAAATATCTATATTTGAGTGTTTAATCAAGAGAGTTTAAGGAGATCTGGGTGTTTAAAGCTGTTTTCTTTTGAATCTATCATCTCCATCTCCATTTCTCATCATTAATCATGCTAATCTTCTCAACTTGCAAAGGTTTAAGAGAGATTAGTATGACTAGTGAGTAGTCACCTTAATGAGGTTCTAGATATGTAGGTTAGGGTGCTAAAGTGTTAGATTAGGAGTGCTTAGGGCTAGATTCATTGATTCATTTCTCTAAACAACTGTTCTCTATGCTAGATCCTTGATAATCACTTGAGATCTAGATTCTGGGAATTTCATGCACCAAAAGTGTTTGATGAAATTCCTGAAAGAGTTGTATTAGAGGTTTAAACATTTTTCTGCATGATGATGTATTGTTATTTGCTTGAATGATCATTAAGAGCTGTTTGTTAATGCATATTGATTCATGTTTCACAAATGGGAATTTGGTTTGAAAATGGATTAGTATAGGGGTTAATACCTTCATGAGAGGATTAACCTAGATTAGAGTTCTTAATCACTTGAATCATGTCTCATCATTGTCTTCAGCATCTCTAGTTTAACACCAAAGCACCCTGACCAACTATCATGTCTAGAATCTCATGCCTCCATCATATCATATTCACATCATATCATTTGTCATTGTCATTAGTCTTTAATCCTGTTTATGTTTATAGTTTTCTCTAGATTAATCAAAACCCACTCTTGTTTGCTTGAATTAAGAACTTGATCATATAGCTTAGTGTCTAACACCACATCTGGATTGATAAACCTCTTTGTGCTACATTGACAAGGGGATTGATAGCCCTGAGACCCTAAAAAGTCTTGTCTATCACCCAAGTAGTACGAGGGATTTGATGTTGAGCAGGAAGGTGTGGACTGACGTGGTGGGCTGCTATCCGAGGGTTCAGGTAAGAATGCCAAGGCAGGGTCGATCCAATCCTCTTTGCCTGGTGGAAACTCCGAGTTCCTTGCGTTTGAGCTTTCCCCAACCTCCTCTTGTGTAACCGGTGCGGTTGAGGTTGCTGAGTTCTTGTCCGGAGAAGATGGCCGTGTGAGCTGCTTTACCTTCTTCTTCAGGTGCCTTACACAGTCCACCAAAGCATGAATGGTCTTGTCTTGCCACTTACACCACTTTTGGAGAGTGTTCACTCGCAAATACAGCTTCTTGGTGTGGTATTCAGGCTCACCCCACACGTATGGATCAAAATGATATCGGCCTGCTCCCATCCTTCTCTCAGGGTGCCGTTCTTCTTCATTCTCACATCCGGCCGGGCCGTTCTCGTTCTGAGGCTTGTTAGGTATGGCCTTGGTGCACTTGCGCATTGGTGGGCCGAGAGAGGGGTTATACAACTGATCCTTGAGGACATAGAAGGAGATGTTACACTGCTTATCAAGCATGGTGAGGCCTCGGTTAGGCAGTAGAACTTGTGTACCGTCCCTGTGCATCAGCGTGAAGTTGTAAACCCATCTATCCCCTGACTTGCCTCCAAAGAAACCGCTTTTACTTAGGTATTGCTCATCAATGAGATTCGGCCTCGCTGGTGAATCAGGGAATATGAACCCTTGAGCTCTCAAAATTGTAGTGACAATCCAACCGTTCTGAAGCCTCCTTGCTCCCTTTTTCTTCCGGTCACACCACACATTGTGTCTATAGGTGAGCATTTGGATCGCAAAGAACGCTCCTAAAGACGGTGCATGCATTGGCCCTTGGAACTCCTTTTTGTTCTTCATTTGAGTGATGAGCGGCTTAAGTCCAAGTCCTAACAGTTCAAGCTCTGCCGTGTGAATGACACCAGGGTTGTATGTAGAGAAGAACGTAGAGGCCAGGACTCGGTTGGTGTATCTGATCGCAGGGTTTCTGATGCAGCTTGTCTTGCTCTTGCCTCCCAAGTAAGGCCCAAAAGATATCGTTTCCCACAACGCGGCCAACTCATCACGAGGGTACACAAACTTGTCAAGCGAGCTTCCATTCCTTTCAAATCCAAATATCTCATCAAGCTCCTTGAAACTGACCTTGTAGTGCACGCCTTCTATGTCAAACTCAATGTGTCCGAACCCTTTGCCATGTAGACGCTTGGGATCTCTCTTGGGGTAGATGACAACCTCCAAAGTGGCAAGAAACTGTTGTGTGATCCCCTCGTAAGCAACATCGCTCATCATGAAGAATTCGGCCAAGCCCATGTTTTGAAAGATGAGTGTAACATCATCGAGTATCTCAAGCTTCTTCAACAGCTCCATATCAGGAACCGACCTTGAGCTACTCTTATAGAGTTAAAGTGGTCCAAGTACTCCTCAGTAGTCGGGAAATGTTCCTCCTCGGGCTCGGGCTTTGGTTCCTTCTTGGCCTTCTTGCCACAATCGGGTTCATGAGGGACTATGGCTCTCAGCTCGTCTCCATCGTTCTCAGAGGCTGCCTGCTCCCCATTCCGTTTTGGTTCAAGGGTTGGAACCAGAGTGAGCTCGGCGTTCCTTGCTCGCTTGGCGGCTGGCTCACCACCGGATCTCACGGAGGGTTTCTTGCTTGTTCCACCATTGCGTGCCACGGCCACGGCTTTCCCTTTTGTAATCCTCCTCTGGACTTCGTTTTTGTTCAATTCATGAGTGGGAACAGCTCGGTCGCCGGTCATCTGCAAGGCAGATCCTCAAAGAGACCGTTAGAATCATGTACATCAACAAGCACATGTCTCTAAAGATAGCAAGAACAGAGCTTTTTCTCTAACAAGACCAGGGTTATAGCTTTTTCCAAACATCAAAGGAAGTAAAAACAAGCCAGAACAAGCAAAGAAAGACACGATATCTAAACAGTTCAGCTCAACATCTCAAAGCATCATTAAGACCGATTCCAAGCGCATTTTCTCAAGAATTTTAAAAACTCAAGAACAAGTGATTTTCAGAGCAAAGACCGGTTTTTCTTATGTTATCTATCTTGATGGAATTTTTAAAATTGTTCCCAAAGGCCGACATGTTCTAAAAGAATCGATTCCACATTTCACAAACAATAAAGCTCGCAAAGAATGAAGGAAAAAGATGAGTTCTTTAAGATGCAAATACCTTTGGGAATCCAAGATTCAAGTTTAGTGGAATGCTTATGATGAATAGACAACACCCTAACGAGTCTAGAACGCTTGGAATCACAAGAAATGGATGAGAAATGAGAGAGATATGTTCGTGAAATGCAGAGAAAAGAGAGAAGAAGGCGAACTCTCGGTTAATGGCTCGGGATGGAGGCTGGTATGGGCGGTGTCGCGCTTTCCAGCTTACGCTTGGACTGTAGTGGGACTGGTCCCCCCTTCTCCTTCAGCTGAGACCGTTGACCCGCGCCAAAACAGCTTTGACCGGGCGTTTAAATTCAAATTACCGCGCAAAGGCTTCCAAATGGCGCGACAAGGGGGATGACGTGGGCCGTACGGACTAGAGTGATTTTTCTCGTGTTTTCTTGAGCGGCCTCGACTTGTTCCACCCCGAGGGCATCAAGCCGAGTGTCATGAGCTCAAGTTAACCAGAATTTCTCCGCGGCCATCAAGTGTTTCCCCCAGGTCGCGCAAACTCTCTTCTTTGACCGAAGTGTCCCAAGTGTTCATGTTTTTGATCATTCTTGAAGCCGGGCACCTCGGCACGCTCCACCACGAGGGCATCATGCCGTGGTCACTTGTATTAACAGAGAACACTTGGTGCTGGGGGTTTAAACGGTCCGGCCTTGGTGTAAACTGGTCGCGGCCTCGATCGAGGTTTTAGACCGTTTGAAGTGAACTTTGCCCCTCGGTATAATCATACCGAGGTGTTTACACCGTGGGCCTCCCCCACACTTAGTCATCTCACCACATAACTACTTAAGCACGGCTATGGTGAAATTAAGTCGAGGAGTTTAGCTGAGGTTCTCAAGCTATTACTCGGTAAAAGGTGACCTCGACATATATATATACCGAGGGTCGATACCGAGGCTATGTATGCTCTAGAACTTAAACCATCAGGCCGTGTCTTTTTCAAGCCTTTTCTTACTCTCATCATCAAGATTCACCTCTTAACTCCTGAAACACTTAACAAACCCTTCAAAAAGCTTCAAGTAAAAAGAAAAAGAAGATGAAAAACGAAATATTTACAAGGATAAGCTTGGGGTGTCTCCCAAGAGCACTTTGTTTAACGTCACTAAGTTTGACTTTTCATACCTTTTCAGGCTGATTCTGGTTCAAGAAGAGGAACTGAGGTAGCTCCCTCTCTTGTTTCTGTTGCCAGGTAGTGCTTTACCCTCTGACCGTTTACCACAAAGCCTTGTCCATCTTTTCCTTTTAGAACAACCGCTCCATAAGGCCTTACTTCAAGAATTTCGAATGGACCGGACCATCTGGATCTCAGCTTCCCAGGGAATAGCTTAAGCCTCGAGTTAAACAACAGAACTTGGTCCCCTTCTTTGAACTCTCTCTTGTGTATCTTCTTGTCATGAAGAGCTTTAGTCCTTTCTTTGTAGATCTTAGAGCTCTCAAAAGCATCTAACCGGATTTCCTCAAGCTCATGAAGTTGTAAAACCCTCTTCTCTTGTGCAGTCTTGATGTCAAAGTTAAGAAGTTTCACTGCCCACAATGCTTTGTATTCCAACTCAACCGGTAGATGACAGCTTTTCCCATAGAGCAAGTTAAACGGTGAGGTTCCAATGGGGGTCTTGTACGCGGTTCTGTAAGCCCACAAAGCATCATCAAGTTTCTTGCTCCAATCCTTTCTAGATGAGCTCACGGTCCTCTCCAAAATAGCCTTTATCTGTCGGTTAGAGACCTCCACTTGACCACTAGTCTGCGGATGATAAGGTGTGGCCACCTTATGCTTTACCCCATGCTTCTTCAAAAGACTCTCAAGAGTCTTATTGATAAAGTGGCTTCCCCCATCACTGATTACTACTCTTGGAACTCCAAACCGTGGGAAAATGATACTTTTAAAAAGCTTTACCACCACTTTTGAATCGTTGGTTGGGGATGCAACAGCCTCGACCCACTTACTCACATAGTCCACCGCGACAAGGATGTACTGATTTCCGTATGAACTCACAAAGGGACCCATGAAGTCAATGCCCCAACAGTCGAAGACCTCGACTTCAAAGATTGGGTTTTGGGGCATCTCATTCCTCTTGGATATGTTACCGTGCCTTTGACAAGCCTCGCATCTCGATACCACATCTTGAGCGTCCTTGAACATAGTCGGCCACCAGAAGCCGCTTTGCAAAACTTTGGCAACCGTCTTGAATGCACCTAAGTGACCACCATACGCTGAACCGTGGCAATCTTGTAGCACCGGATGAATCTCTTCTTCGGCCAAGCATCGCCTATAGAGATGGTCCTTGTTAAGCACGGAAAGATACGGCTCATCCCAATGATATCTCATCACATCTCTAAAGAACTTTTTCCTCTGATAGGCATCAAGATCCGGTGGCTCTAAACCGCAAGACAGGTAGTTCACAAGATCCGCGAACCATGGGAGGCTTCTTTCCTTGATCGTGTTGGCCTCTTCCACCTCTAAGTAAGACCGTACCAGCATGAGATGTTCCTCAGGTAAAGCATCATCTATAGGGACCTTTTCTTCAATCCTCAGCCTTGAAAGATGATCTGCGGCCCCATTTTCTATGCCTTTCTTGTCAAGTATCTCCATGTCGAACTCTTGGAGCAATAGGACCCATCTCAAAAGCCTCGGCTTAGCATCCTTTTTAGACATCAAGTACCTCAAGGCCACGTGATCAGTGTAGACCGTGACCTTTGATCCAACTAAGTAACTCCTGAATTTGTCAAATGCAAACACAATGGCAAGCATTTCCTTCTCGGTGGTTGCATACTTTTCTTGAGCTGAGTCCAAGGTGCGGCTGGCATAGTAAATCACGTGGAGTTTCTTATCTTTCTTCTGCGCCAAGACAGCTCCCACGGCATAGTCAGATGCATCAGTCATCACTTCGAATGGTAAAGACCAATCGGGAGCTTGTACAATTGGTGCACTGATCAAAGCCTCCTTGATCCTCTTAAACGCTTCCTCACACTCTTCATCAAAGATAAACTCCACCTCTTTGCACAATAGCCTAGTTAAAGGCCTAGCTATCTTGGAGAAATCCTTAATGAACCGCCTATAGAACCCAGCGTGCCCAAGAAAGCTTCTTATCCCTTTTACAGAATTCGGAGCTTGTAGGTTCACCATTACCTCGATTTTGGCCTTGGCCACCTCAATACCCTTCTCTGATACCTTGTGCCCCAAGACAATGCCTTCTTGTACCATGAAATGACACTTCTCCCAGTTCAATACAAGCCTATGCTCCTCACATCTCTTTAGAACCTGAGAAAGATTAGCAAGACATTCGGAGAAAGAGGAGCCGTATACGGAGAAATCATCCATAAACACCTCAACTTTCTCTTCAATTAGATCAGAGAAAATGTGCATCATGCATCTTTGAAAAGTGGCCGGTGCATTACACAAACCGAAAGGCATTCTCCTATAAGCATAAGTGCCGTAAGGGCAAGTGAATGTCGTTTTCTCTTGGTCTCTTGGATCTATTGGTATTTGGAAGAATCCAGAGTATCCATCGAGAAAACAGAAATAAGGATGATTGGCTAACCGTTCAAGCATTTGATCAATGAATGGTAAAGGGAAATGATCTTTTCTTGATGCAGAATTCAATTTCCTATAGTCAATGCACATGCGATGGCCGGTTATAGTTCTTTGGGCTATGAGTTCATCCTTATCATTTTTTACCACCGTGATACCACCTTTCTTGGGCACAACGTGCACAGGAGATACCCACCGAGAGTCAGAGATTGGATATATGATCCCTGCCTCAAGGAGCTTTAGTACCTCCTTCTTAACCACCTCTTTGAGGTTCGGGTTAAGGCGATGTTGGTGCTCAATAGAGGACATGGCTTGGTCCTCCAGGTGGATCCTGTGAGTGCATATATCAGGAGAGATTCCACTTATGTCGGCCAAGGAATACCCTATTGCTCTCCTGAATTTCTTGATTTCATTAAGCAATGCACGTTCTTCATGTTCAAGCAAACTATCGTTTATGATCACAGGGAAAGTGGAGTTCAAGCCTAAGAACGCATACCTGAGCCCTGTTGGTAGAGGCTTGAGCTCAACAGGGGGAGCGTCTGCCTCATTCCAATCGGTATCAAAGCTATATTGGCCCGGAACAGCTTCCTCGGCCTTTTCCTTGTTCTCGCGCGGATTATCATCGGCCTCGATATGAGTTGCCACGGCCATGATATCCCGAGGTGTCTCCTCTGTTCCCATGGACCCCTCGCTGTCTAAGATGTCGAGGCCACTCTTCCTGAGCTCCAAAAACCTAGCTTCAGCTCCAAGTTCCTTCGGTTGGTCCAAAAGTTGCTTGTATACCTCGCTTTCCTCGTTCAAGTACCCGTGCTCGCTTTGTTCACGTGTAAGGACCACTTGTAACGGATCCTCTGCGTTCAACTCTGCCAGGAGCTCATCAACTAGCTCCTCCATCACTTCTACATAGAAAACCTGACCTCCAATAGTCGGTTTCTTCATCATCTCTTTCACATTGAACTTCATATGCTCGGAACCGATGTGTAGTTCAATCATTCCTCCTCTCACATCTATAATGGCTGCTGCGGTTGCTAGGAACGGTCGGCCCAAGATGATA